TTTGACAATAAACTTCATATATTGAAAAAAATAAAAAAAATAAAAAAATTATCTGTATTTTCTCAAAACAAAACAAAACAAAACAAAACAAAACAAAAGTCAGCCCCTGCTAGGTCAGAGATTCTTGGTGACATAGGGGGGAAAAATGAAAGAGCTCAGAATATGAGAGAGAATAAGGAATCCCAACAAACGTCTCTCAAAAGTTGCAAAAACAAAGACGGCCTTGATTTTGCCTAAAATTCAGGAGACATAAAGCTTGCCTTTCATCATATGGAGGAGATTCATGGCTGTACATTTTTTATATAAAAATATCAGGAGAAGGTTATAGCTTGGGGTGAAGAATAGATGTTCAACATGTAGCAGTAAATAACACTCCAGTGAAATACATAGACTAAGAAGTAAAATGTGACTGAGTTCATGGCCTCTGGGGCCCAACTGCTAGAGTCTGAATCCTAGCTCTGCCATTTCTATATATACTTGGCAGGTGCCTTTTTCCCTCTGTACTCTAGTGTCTTCACGGGTAAGGTCAGAATAATAATAGTACCTACCTCATAGGGTGTTGTGAGGTTCAAGCATATATGATGCTGATATACATCAAGTGCTTAACAGAGTGTCTGTCCTATAGGGACATGGGTTACATTATTATGATTTGGGAAAAGACATCAAGTGTCAGCCAGAAAAGTAAGAAGAATAATTCCTTACACATGCAGAAAATATAGAGGACCAGATTGCCTGACTTTTATTTATTCATATATTTAATACTTCATTTTTTTCACATGGAGAATGTACTCAGATTATGTGAACAGGAGTATAAAATAATAAGTCATTTTTAAGGAAAATAGTTTGCTTGAGGGGCAGGATAATTTTGAAGTATGTGAGTCTGGAAACCTAACAGATGCTGATTAGTCCAGATACGATGCTGCTGAAGACCTGATATGCTAAGAATGGAAAGGAAGAATTGATGTACAGAACACTTTAAAAAAAAGGATTTGGAATAATTTTATATGAAGCTGGTCTTGGGGTAAAGGGAAGCTGTAAACTGAGAACAGGAGAAATGAACGTGCCTTTACTACTTTTGGGAGATGTGAAAGGGAAATTTCTTTGGTACAGAGATTACTTGAGTGTTGATAGCTTAAATTCAAATCAAAGCAGATATGTCCCATGAACATGTAAAATTAGAATATTAACTTGCCATTAGAAATATCTAATCTGAAGGTAGAGTTTTTCAATTCTTCTCATGGATGATGTGAGTCTCTGAGAGTAGACAGCTCTGAAGAAGCCCTGAGAAGACACTCTGAGGGGAGTAAGTCTAAAGTGAAAAGCAAAACACAGAGATGCATTGACTGTTTCATCCAAAAAGAGAAGCTCTGTAATTGAAACTGAAGGTGCATCATGATGTATCGGCAGCAGCGTGATACTGTGGTGGGGTATACAACTGGGGTCAGACAGTTCTGAATTGAAATCCTAGCTTCTTCACTTATTAAGTATGTTATTTTAAGAAAACTACCTCACTTTGCCCAGTTTTGATTTCCTCATCTATAAATTAGTTATATTAATACATAGTTCACAAGATGTTTCACCAGCACACAGTAGAGGATCAGTGCGTGTTCTTTTAACAGGAGACACTGTTGACCTTCCATCTAAGAGATAATTTTCCCCTTCTTCCCTGTAGGCAGAGTTGGTCTATGCCGACCACAGTTGTCCCACCACCCCCCAGCCAGTGAGTGGTCTATATGTGACATGTGACTAGTTCTGGTCAATGAGATTTAAAGGGAAGCCTTCTGCAAGGGTGCTGGAAGAGGTTCCTTCAGTTTTAAAGACTGGCATAAAATAAGAGGTGATTTCTTTTCTGCATCTGGACATTGGTATGTAAGGATAGGATATCCGCAGCAGTTACAGCTTACCAAGAAGATTGCCAGCTGAGAATGGCAAGCAAAAATTTTTTCAAAAGGAAAAAAAAAAACCTGGATGAAGAAACAATTTGATCTCTGAACCAACCCTGGAGCTACTCAATCACTGGACTACTTCTGTTATATAAGTTAAAAAAAAATCCATACATTTTCATTTCCTGTTGTTGAAATTCTTACTGGCTCACATATCTTCCAGGTATTCATAGCCCTTACCTACCACCTTCTCACCCTTTCTATCATAGTTTGTTTAGTGCCAGTACTTTCTCAAAATATTCCTTTTTATTTTTCTTTTTCCCTTCTCTTCTAAATCTATATTGAAATAAAACTAAGAGTGTGATCTTAGCTGGGAAAACAGCCTCAACTGAATTTTATTTGCAAGAGACAAAC